GTTTTATTTTATTTTTTCACACATCACTGGGCTTTTTGAAAAATCTCACGTTCATCCATAGACATGTCCAAGGATTTTGCCTGATTGCAAATCACATTGTAGACAGAAATCAATTCAAAGGGTGTATTCAAATACAATGATAATAATGATGATGATGATGACCTGACTGGTAGTATCAAAAGTCCGTTATCTTTCTCTTAGCACCCGGCTTGAGAACTTGAGAATCGCATCGTTTTCCCCCTGCGAAATTACAACATGTATTTAACTTTTCTTTCCAAATAAATATTCTGAATTTATCGAGGAGATTCTAAAGTAGTGCAGGAGCTCTCTGCTCCACTCTTTTGTCTAATGTCCCCTGCTCAGTTCACTGGGGGGGCGACAGCTTCTCCAGCCTCCTGCTAGACTCCCCTTGGCTAAAATGTTGTAAATGAACACAATTAGCAGATCAACATCCTGCTAATTAGCCACTGGCTTGTGCAGAAGGCAGCAGCTAGAGAGGAGAGTCATAGTGAAAATAGAAGGGTAGGGACCCCCCCTCCCCCTCCTCCCCTGAGCTGTTACCAAACAAACACTGGGCCTTGGAACACGGAGCAAGAGAGTGTGAACGAGTGTGTGATTGTCCCCGTGGCTTTTTTTTTTTCTGGTCATGTCTGTTTTTTCAGCAATATAAATGGATAGGCGGGCAGGAGGGAGGAAGTGCATGGGTTTTATTGTGCATGTCTGCTTGTACTCCAACAAACACAAAAACACACGCAAACCAATTCCTGGGGAGGTATTGCTCACTAGGTCTCCAACTGTGGAGCTCTATATGCATCCATCCCCAGTCAATAAGTCAGAGGAAGCAGTCTAAATGACACAGCTATTATCCTTTATTTGTGTGCACTAAGTCAAATCAAACAGGGCTTCAATGCACCGGCTGCGGCTGCTGTGATTACGCCCCGTCCAGCCTTTGATAGCTTAGATATGGCTTCTTTGATAGTGAGACAACGGCGGGATGGAGTGCGCTGTGCAACTGTCAGTGTTTGCAGATGGCACTGGCCGGGATTAAAGGAAACAGTGGCTCCCCAGCCTCCTGAGGCAATAAAAGGAGGGGGAGAGCCAGGTGAGTGTGGCTGAGATGAGATGGAACAGGGAAGGAGGAAGGGGAGGGGGTGAAGCAAGCACAGAGGGAGTAAATAAAAAAGAGGGGTGGCTGCAAAGAAAGAGCCGAAAGGTAATGAAAGGAAGAGATATATATCGAGAGGGATGAAGCCAGAATAAAAAAGGGGGATGAAGAGGAATAAAGAAGGTTTTAGAGAGGAAAGACAGGGGAGGTGGAAAATGGATGAGCACAAAAAGCAAAAAGAGAGAGAGGGAGAGAGGGAGAGAGAGAGAGAGATTGAGAGGGAGGACAGGGCAGCGGGGAGGCATGAAGAAGAGATGTGGACAGAAAGGTAAAGAGAATGGTAGAGAGAGGAGGTCAAGGTGGAGCCGTGCAGACAGAAACTAAGCCTGAGACACAGTGTGTTGTAATTCATAGCTGGCTGCAGCTCCTGCGTGCGTGCCTGTGTTTGTCCGTCTGGGTCAGTGGATGTGAACAAGTGTGTGTGCACATTAGCACGCTTGAGTGCAGGCAAAGATAGTTTTTTTTTCCTATGACTGCATGTCCGAGTTGAGGTTTGTGTGTATATTCGACAGAGAGAGAATGTGAGTTAGATAAAAGCAGCTTGAGCAGATTGGGGGTGGGGTTTGGTTCATGTGTGTATGGGTTGCTTTGTGGCAGTGGTGAACGATTCAAACCCATCTCCAGCTACCTCAGATGTGCCGGGGCTACGGACTGACCCTCAATGCCTCTGTCTTATTGGTGTGGCCTGTGTGCTTCAGTCAGCAGTAACCAGCTGACCTAATATCTCCCTGTACTGCACTACACCTGCAAACGCACATTTGACTCTCCCTCTGAATGGAACCAAGGACTAACGTGTTGTTGATGAACCTGTTTGTGTCAGCCTCACTTTGAATAATGCATGTATAAATGAGCCCAAAACAACCAGAAGGCCGATCATACAGGAACCTAATGTTGTGAAAGTTCAAAAAGGAAGCCCAGGAAGAAGATATTGATGAAAAACGTATCATTAGCTGTCAGGTATGCTCTGTTTGATGCAGAAACAGCCTCTGTATTAGGCTCCCCTCTTTCTGACTTGTAGCTTCTTGTGTAGAAATCCTTGACATCTAATGTAGGTAAGACTATTGTATGAATGTTATTGTTTTTTTATTCTCATCAGGAAATGGTATCCTTCATAAACCTGAAGAGCAGCTAATTTCATTTACTTAAAAAATGGATTTGAAGGTTGTGTCTCTAAGGCATACAAAATGTCACACACTGCACATCAACCTGTTGTTTTAGTCAGATCTGTAGGACAAAATGAAGGATATATTTTGGTACAAAGCTAGAGAGGAAGTCTTCACAATGTTATGGAAATAATGAGGCTGCATCTTACCTGACCTACCGCATCAGTGAACGGTGTCACTTGGGGCTTTCAAAAGCTTTGATCAGAAGATCAAAACAGATCATTTCACCTCACAACTAAAAGGCCTTTTCAATTTTGTTATTAATGACGTCACCTTTCCTTGCATGTGAGTGGACCTGAAGTTGTACAAAATGGAGTATTTATATTTATATATAAATATTTTTTGGTCATTTTTTTTTGGTCAGTTTTCTTGTGACCTATCACACATTTCTTTACTTTCTTTACCAAAAATGTAATGTAATGTAATTAACTCAGATGTCTATACCAAGGTATGTACCAAACGGTGGCATGCCTGAACCGTTACACCCCTAGATGTCTCTAAAAGTCATCCCCAGTCAGTTGGAGTACTGAAGTTACTTCAAATACTGTAATTCAGTAAGATTAAAACCCTGTGAACACCTTTACTAACCGGTCTTAGCCAGTTTGAGTTTCATTTTTGCCTTCATGTGCTCATGTCTTTGTTTTTTTTTTTCTTACAGGCTTAAAAATGCAGTGGACCCCAGAACACAGTCAGTGGGCCGAACAGCATTTCGACATAAGCTCCACAACACGCTCGCCGGCCCATAAGGCTGAGGCCTACAGGACAGTTCCTGGTC